ATAATATGGAGGGTCAAAGGACTTTGATTTATCTCACTATCTCAGAATATATGGTGTAATGTTAATAGGTGAGATTCCCGAAGCCTTCTTAACGCTACATCGTTCGTATGGGTTCTTTTAACACTATAGGCCTACCGTACGACCGACGTAGCATTAAGAAGGCTTCGGGAAACTCACGCATTATCTTTTATTTATTTAAGGCTCGTGTTGCGTCAGAGATTCTATCTACTGCAGTTTTTCCTATGTTGAATAATTTGAACGCTGCATTCCATATGTTAAGACTCTAAGACAATCATTTTTACATGGTCAGCATGGAAAAAATTGAGCGAATTGAGACAAGTATCTTTTTTTATCATTCCATTCATTTGATAATTAATTATCGACTTTGTGCTTTATTAGAAAGTCGTATTGGTTTGTTTACGTTCGTAGTATTGCGAATTATGTGGGTACAAATTCACTTTGCGTAATATTATCAGCCTTTAGTAAAATGAATACGCATTATCAACCTCAAGAAACAAGTCAGATTGGACTAATTACGTATTTCTAAATTACACCTGGAACTAAAATGAAACTGCATAATAAATTAACATAAGTGAAAAATTAAATAGCAATTATCTGTCAGTTACATAATCCATCTTGATAACTATACAGTTGTTATTATTATTATTATTACTATTATTATTATTATTATTAACCTCTTTGCACGCATCTATACATAACAGAACTTCCTATATGAATAAATGCTCAACAAAACTTCGTAGAGGACGTTTGCGTTTTTCCCGGTCTATCCGGGCCTTAACCTCCTTGTAAAACATACATATCGCTCACATTTTTAGCTAAAGCACATTTTAGTCCAACACTGTCATTTTTTTTTTTTAACAACATGGATTATCAGAAATCGGAAGTATCGATTTTTTTGCTGGTAAAATCGCAACACTTCAAGCAACTGAATGGTCTTTACGTACAATGGTAAAATAAACAACAACGACAATATTATTATTATTATTATTATCATTATTATTATTAATAATAATAATAATAATAATAATAAATATTATAATAATAATAATAATAATAAAGTAAAACAAGCGAACAAGATAGTATACGAGATGTTGAAGAGAAAGACCACAAGATGTCCCCCGAACCTCGCATTCCAGATACGGCTCATTCCAATGGACACCAAGTTCACGGAGGAATTTTTACCCTCCAAATGTCGTTGTAACATCAATGACTGTAAAATATTGATATTTAAATGTAGGATCGAAGCGTGTCACTTAAAAAAATATGTTATATGCCATGGTCAGTTTGAAATTAAAAAGAATTTATTTACCGAATTTTAATACAATGTCGTTCACTCTCATGGCCCTGTGCGTTGTCAATACTTAAGACGCTTTGAAGTGCACTGGTAAGCGTAGGCCTACTGAAATTCACTGAGATTAGGCCTCTTGGCAATGAATTAGCACACCCGTTATTATTACTACGAATACTGTTCTGCTTGTATTTTACTATTTTTGATGACAGTAGGCTAATGGTGTTTGCATAATATACTGTCGGAACAAAGAGGTAAATTGCACATTCGCTTCGGCTTAACACTTAATATATAACGCGACGTTCCATAACTGATCTACGCAGATTGTTTTCACAAACGTTTCGGTTTCATCTCCGCTGTATATGGAACAAATGTTCTTGTGTTTATGTGCCACACGACTGTAAAAGTACCTGCTCCCGCGTTTAACACATGCCACATTGCTTATAATTAATTTCCCCGGTGTTAATTAAACTAATTAACCAATGTTTAGCCTGAACAAAACAACATGATCCCCAATTATTGTTGGTATATTCCTCATCCTATATGTGGAAGGAATCATCATAATTTTCCGTGTTTTCAAAGTGGTACGAACTTGACTTTGACAGAGTGGCCCATGTCATCGAACCAATCAAGTTCCCAAAATCGTCACTGGGACGCAACCAAAATGGATTCCAAAACAGCGTTTAAGGAGTAAATATCAATGTGACCGCTCACTTTATAAATTGATTATATTAATCGCGAAAGCATAATCATGCAAATGAAAATATACGGCGTTCCTTGAAAAATGTGCTTTGTGTAGGAATAAGTTTCTGAATTACCACATGCTTATTGTTTTTCATAAATATGAATGCAGCAGTTCATATGCTTTGCTCGATTACTGTATATTATATGAGAAAAAAGAGAGAACTTCTTGTTTATCAGTACAATAGTTATATATATATATATATATATATATATATATATATATATATATATATATATATATATAAGTAATTGCATAGACAACCTAGCCAAAATTAGCCTACTCGAATTTCGATTACATTGCTTTAAATGCTGTGCAATCTTACATGCAAATGCAGATCTAAGCAGGAAACTATTACAAATTGAATTTTAACGCACTTTAGTATTGAAGACAGAATTGTACTGCTGTTCAAAATTATTAGTCCGTTAATTCCTCAACGTGACGTAAGGGGAACAGTTCACACCCCAATAATTAAATATATATATATATATATTTTGCGATGAATGCACTGCAATTATAAACTGCTAATTATGAGTAAACGCATTTCTCCGTCAGTAAATGTCGAAGGAGTGAAATGTCATATTCAGTTGCGATATTCTAAGACATACAGTATGACTTCTGCCAAAAATGTACAAAATGTCCCAGCATTTTAAAATAATGTAATCTTATTTGAGCAAAGCTTTAAATGTGTTGCATATCAAAAACGATTAAAGGTTTACACGCTCGTCGTGATGGTTACAAAGGAAAACATTCCTATTTAATTAAAACAGAAGAGATGGGGAAATGGCGTTGTTGTAACTCAGAAAGACTGTTTTGTATTCTTTACAAATTCTACTTAATCGCTATACAGGCTAACAACATAAAAATACATTTTATTAGACACACCGAAAGTGTTGCAGAATACAGAGTAGCCTACAGAAATCAATGTACGATAACTTATTATGATATGTTTTATTCCTTATACTTATATATGGTCTCACGGAACAACAACAGCAATAACAACAACAATAATATTTATTATTATTATTATAAAAAGTATTTCAGTAGTTACTCAGAATGTTGTATTTTGTTGAGAAACTATTCCTTATTTCTTTAAGTAAGCATTCGCTAGATTCATGCTAATTATATATATATGTGTGTGTATATATATATATATATATATATATATATATATATATATACACACACACACACGAACACACACATACACACACACCTATATACATACATCGTACGTGCATATGTGCGTTAGTGAGTTAGTTAGTGAATACCCACACTGACAATTAATATTATATATTCCAGTAGCAGTATAACACAATTAAAATAGTTCCCTTGATTTTTATGGCTTAGGTGTATTCAGAAACGGGTGTGTAGGCTATTATGTTCAATAATAAAAGCTACAGGCCGCGAGCGCATTTATCATCCTATTACTGTTACAAATCCAGACTCCAATACATGAAAGGCAAAATGAATTACCAGCGTTAAGCCGTCAATAAAGTCATTCCTGTAAATGGTGTCTCTGAAGACTGCGGCATTATTCAACACGTTTTATCAGCAGCTTGGAAATTACGTGGCGGTCCTCGCGGCGTCTAATATGGCCGTGTATCCTTTGATTAAGCATCTTGCCAGGGCATAGTGACAGTGCCTTTGACCAGGTTTTATTCACTCTCCCGTGATGAACGCCAAGCTGGTCAGGCGGAATGAAGAGTAATTAAAACCTATAAATTATCTTCTGCGGCCCTTCTCTTGGCGTCTCTTGCAGACGAGATAAGACCGAAAGCCCCCATTTACCGCCCTAAAAGGAATACATCTCACAAAGGCTACTTGGCTAAAGAGAATATTGATAGTGTCCTAATTAGAATTTAATTAAGTACCCAAACTAGGTTCGAGGATAAAGATTTCAATTATTGCACTTTAAACGCAACCTACACTGCTCATAAGTGAACACACTCGACGTTTAAGGTGTTTTTCTGTAATAATGTTGCCTTACAAACATATAAGAAACACGTTTATATGTATGGAAACAACCCTTCTTCCCGGTTGCTGACAAATTTATTTTATGTCCTGTTCTGCACTTTTAGAAGCTTGTGTATACGAACAAACTGATAAAAACAAAGAGTTTCAAATGCCTATGTTATGCAGTGTAATACCAATCGTCGATTAACGTAAAGGGCGGTGAAACCGAGTTAACAGAATACGTGAAAGCTATTTTGACAAATTCTAGCACACAATTATTTATGGACTATTAAATATTTCAAAGATGAATTTCAATGGAATAATCATTTAATATTCCTATACTACAGGCAGTATTTAGGCCCACTGGCTTTTTTAAACAACTGCAGATGTATAACGATTTTCAAAACACCGAAAATGAATATAACATTATTAAAGTTATTAAACGAAATGGTTAATATAAATGTAAGTTTATAATAACATAGGCCTACTTAACACCTGTCCTCATCTGACAGCAGGAAAGACAAAATTATCAAGCATATCTGTTCGCGTGAAACACCGTGTGCTTAAAAACTTTTTTTTTTTTTTTAATCTCCTGAATAACCGGCGTACTTTGACTCATTCAAACCTCTTAGAGGGTTTGTTGTTATAAATCATAAGTACGTACCACGCAGCTTGGTTTTTTCCTATGAAAGTACACCGTGTGCTGGTGGATCTCTATTGAAATATGCAGGGAATTCACAATTTTAAAGATTATTATATGGACTTTGATCACACATCATGCTGAGATGAAGACTATACGACGTAGTACTTCGTTTAGTAAAAGAGCAATCTTATATATTTACGGAGCGTCCTGAAATGCGATTGGACATTCACTTCAGTCGGAAATAGTTTCAGCAGTTTATTGGCTGACTGCACGTGTGTGGGGGATCACGTGTTTCCGGTTCTTATTTAAAAAAAAAGTGTGTGAAGCTGAGCAATTTTAGGAGAGTTTGCAGGGATCGAGCTGTCATAGATAAAAGGGGGGCAGGCACTGCAAATGAGCTGGCCATGCGATGTCAGACGGACATATTATAGCACTTCGGACTCCTGCTGATACTACCTGCAAGATGCCGGCATTTTAAGAACATAGCCCTCCAATTTATCAAGCGTAACTGTAATTATTTCAATTTAATTTAAAGTGGTTACACTTTGGTTGTAACTGGATACAAATACTGAGCAGCAAGTGGAATTTGGTGCGAGCGGCAGACGCTTTGGCCGATCTGGTCTCAGGCATGGAAGACCCGAAAGAGCCGAACGGACGAGATGGGAGCGAAGGGGAAAGCGTCTCTCTTTCCCCGAATCTCCCGTCTCCACCAGCCGTACCACACCAGGCGGCGCAGCAAAGTCACAGAACCACCAACTTTTTCATCGATAACATTCTTCGGCCAGATTTCGGTTGTAAAAAGGAGTTCGCGGGCAGGGAGAGAGCGCACACATCGGACAGAGAAAACGTCAATCCATTGGTAATCAGGCCATCCCTCCCCGCCACTTTGTGCCAGGATTCAAACTGCAGCAATGACAGCACCTCGTCGTCTTCCTTGTCGTCTTTGCCGCCCTCCAAGCAGAACTCGTCAACACGAGGGGAAGGAAATGGATCTAATTCTATAAAATGTGGCGAGAACACCGCGTCAATAATGGTTGTGAATGCGGATAATGGAAGAACTGCCCCCGTTACAGACCCCCAGCCACTGCTATGGCCTGCCTGGGTTTACTGCACGAGATATTCGGACAGACCGTCATCTGGTAAGGCAGAAGTCGCTTAAAAATACTTTTTTCTTACGAATTGCCAAGTGAAGGAGAAGAAAAGGAAAACGAAGAAAAAAACTACAGTTGTTATGGGTTAAATTATTTATGGCTACATATAGATAATATATATTCTCAATGTATATAATTTTATGATTTATTTAAGGCATGTAATTATTACTGTTTGAAGAAATATATGATTAAATTTCATCGCGATTTATTACCCGTTTTAGTGATTTTTAGTAAGAATGTATCTCTGTGTGTGCGTGTGTATGTCAAGTGTACAGTACTAGGTTTCGAGACCTTAGACTGTGTACATTTCGCTGTTTTGCCAGCGGCAAAAACAATTGCAACAATTTAATTAAGAGTACAGTTGGTAATATTGGCTTTATTGGGAAAATCAGTGAGACCCATTAAAAACTTTATTATAATTTCTGATATTATTATTAATAATAACGCCAATAATAATAATCAGCCATTTTATCCTCACTTATTCATTACTATTGTAACAAAAAGTAAATTATAGCCTATTAAAATCTATTAGTAACGTGCAACCTCTTCCACAGGAAAATCTAAAAATTCACCCTTTGATAGGATTTATTGCATCTTATTATATAGCTTATTACATTTTAAAGACAGAATAGGATGTTTATTATAAAACCCGTGGGCAGCTACAGGCTACGTATCCATCTCTGAAAGTATTAACTGACGCTCTCTCGGCTTTTATTTATGAAATAAAAATGGGAGGTTAAAGCGATTTGTAATGTTTTATGACGTACATTCGACGTGTGTGTAATGGCATTCAGAAAGTAGCCATTTTACACTGTCTGGAGAACATGAGGATGGGATGTTCGCAGTGTAAGAGTTTTTTTTTCATTCGCGTTTCTGGAAATGAACGGTATACAGGTATAGCTGCACAGATGGCTAAGACCTGACAGCCCAATGCTCACTCAATAAATAAATAAACAAATAGGATAGATAAGCATCGATTGGCTAAACTTTACTGATGAAGCTATCAATCTAATGTGACTAATACATCACTGCTTCGATTTCAGCTAAATTGAATAAATAACAAAAATAACCATACAGGCCAAGTTTGGACCTTCCCCATTGTTACCTATTATTTCGTAAATGTTTGCTCATTGATATTAATTCTGACTGCGTTTTCTATAATGCAGCAGCTTATTAACAGGAAGACATCGGTCGATTACTTAGAAATTTAGAAACTAAAATAAAACTTAAATATTTTGATAATCCCTAATTGAATACAGGTGCATGTTTGTTAGTTATAAATGATCGAATAGAAATAATGTCAGGTGTGTATGCCTACCTTTCAAGGTAATTGTATTTTCGCCGTTGTGTGTAGATAGATAGATAGATAGATAGATAGATAGATAGATAGATAGATAGATAGATAGATAGATAGATTGATTTTGGTGTCCTTTCATAGAAAGATTTTTTTCAATATCTCCAAAATAATCTAACGATGTCCGCCGGTATTATCTTGGATGAGGATTATACATTGTATAGTTAATTTTACGTAATAGTATGATTGTATTTGACATTTAATTAATATTATTAAAAAGGGACTCGAAGCCTGAAATGCTAGCTAACTTTTCGTAAAAAACATAACAGGAATAATATTTCGTAGTCAAATGAAAATTTCAGGTCACGTTAATTGTGTTACTGTTGGTAAAACGTAATATTTAACAAAATCAATGAAGAAAAGACTGAATATATTTGGATAAAGGGACCTGCAGAAGTGCCAGTCTTCATTGTGCCGGGAAAAACCGCTTACAAACAATTGTAGCTGAAGTCATCAAAGACTGGCTGAAGACTTTTCTTTTGTCATGCATATGAAATAGCTATCCATTGTTTAATTCTATGCCGTTTACACATCACAGGCAAAATATTATTCTGGTTATGCAAATGATCGTGGATCATATAATGATGAGCACTTTACAGAAACAGCAGCGTCCAAATTTCGGACTTCGGGTAGCAAGCGGGGGAAAATACTTAGGGGTTTGTGGGATATCTCGAATAGAGTAGAAGTTTTTCGTAGTGCAATTTTAAAATATATTGAATCTAATGTCATTTTGGAATTCGAATTTGGCTCTCCCTGGACATGGGAAGCATGGTACGGTGTTTTGTTGTGTTGTAAATTTTGCTTTTATTTGGCCTTGAACTTCAAATCATACAAATCACGATTTTTTTTTAAAAATATTAAAAACAGCAAAGGATGATTTGTAAGACAGCGCGCATCACAATAACGCAGTTAATCTGCACGCAAAACACAAGATGTCCCGTTGATGTCGGAGTTGGGTAGTAATGATATTTTTTGCTGGTCATGCCAGATGATAATTAAATCATACACCAACGAGCTTCAATACACACGCTGGCGCATACATTGAAATACGGCCGTATATGAAATTGCGTGCTTACGTGTACTTAAAAGCTACGACACAAGACTCATCTATATGTATGTTTATCAGAGATGCTGGTGTTTATATCCTCGTGTCATTGTTGTTTGTACTGTAGGCCCAAGGACGCGCAAGTTAAAAAAGAAGAAAAGCACCAAGGAAGACAAGCGACCCAGAACCGCGTTCACAGCGGAACAGCTGCAAAGACTTAAAGCCGAGTTTCAGGCCAATCGCTACATCACAGAGCAAAGGAGACAGTCACTGGCCCAGGAACTGAGCCTTAACGAGTCCCAAATCAAAATCTGGTTCCAGAATAAGAGGGCAAAAATTAAAAAAGCCAGCGGTTACAAGAACGGTCTAGCCCTGCAGTTGATGGCGCAAGGCCTGTACAATCATTCCACCACCACCGTCCAGGAAGACAAGGATGACAGCGAATGAGCCTCTTCCCAGCGCCCCATCGGTGTGCCATAGACACTTAACGGGAGCATTTTTTTTTTCCTTTTTTCCACTTTTGTGAAAAAAGAAGATACGAAGGGAAATGGACAGGTGCTATTTAAAATCTGAAATTTCAGTCTGTCGTATAGCATATGGACAAAACTATATAAATTGCGAACATTAATAAAAAATCTATATATAGCCAGAAATATTTCGTTGTATATTTAATTTCAGAATTTCAGGTCCAGACGTTTGTGTCAGTATCCACTTGCTGGGTATTTTTTTAAGCATTTAATTTAGTTATGTTATCAACTACTGCCTAATTCTATTTTCTCCTCATTCTTCTGTTATTATTATTATTATTATTATTATTATTATTATTATTATTATTATTATTATCAACTTCTCAGCTAGAACTAAAGTCCATAATTCGAAACTCCGTTCCTGAGCCGCCGCTTCAAGCCAAAGGTTTTAATATTTTCGGAAGGTGTAGTCCGAAATAAAATTGTAGAATGTACTGCAATCGCTTCTCCTCTATGTCTGCCGGGTCACTTCCGCGTTCATTAACCTTAAGATGAGATCAGTCATGCTGTTAGGAATGTCGGGTTATTGTCTGCGATTTCGTTCGAGTTTAAATCGAGTGACTGGAGAGCCAGGTCATCAAATGGCGTCCCTAAGATATTTTAAAAAGCAAATGAATCTCTTTATAGTTTTCAGTTTTCTCTTTCTCCAGTACCTTCGAAGGAATTCCATGTTATGTTTTGGTTCCTAATGTGCTTTTGGAGATCGCTTTGCATCGACAAGTTCGTGTTTTTTTGTTTTGTTTTGTTTTTATACTCCTTAATATGAATTTTATGATATTCATTTATTTATTTAATAAAATACACGTGCATTTACTTTCCAAGGGGAAAATTTGTGGCAAGGATGGGTAAATTTGGCGTAGAAATGTTGTCATGCGTTCATCACTCCGGCTCTCCCCTTCTGTGTTATAGGCCAGACGAACAGTGTAATTCATCGCGTCCACATCTGAATATGGCGAAATGGATTCACGGGCGTATGACAGTAAGATCACGCGCTAACCGCGATCAAACTCGCTCAGACTAATGGTAATAATGACAATGATCACGATGTGTATTATCAATACTGAAGACATTTTATTTTTTAATGAGATATTACAATTTACTGTTCTGTGGAGTAAAATTACTTAAAGTAAAGCTAAGCTATAGATAAATTCTAGATGTAAATGGATAAAAATGGGTAAATTATTTTACATTAAAGAGTGTTTAAGTTTATATTGTTCGAGGATTGCATCACATTCAGTATTCGGAGCCGGCGTTTTTAAATAAAATAACTTGAGCCGATTTGAACGTAATAATAATAATAATAATAATAATAATAATAATGACACATTGCGTAATACATATAAAACATGCATTGTTTTACAAAGTAAATCATCTGTGAAGATATATTACTTTAACTATATTTTAACAAGCCACAGAAATCCCCAGATCGTTTTTACGTGTTTTTTACGCCTAGGCTGAAACCTGTATCCAGTGTACAATTACTTAGCTGTACATTGCTATGTATAGTGTGGATAGCAATCCATACATGGTTATATGGAAAACGTCATTCATACCAGGAAATAAATTAATGAATGGCAGGGCAACTGTAAAATGTAATTTCATGTAAGGATTTGTCCCAGTCGGTAAACAACTCTTGGCAAGTGCAAAATAATGTATTACAATAAGCTCTCTCAACACCCAAGTCTCACTATCAACCTGCTTTTGACGGTTTATTTACTTATAACGTCGCCATAGAGAATCTATTACACGTTTTTGCCCTCAAAACTTAACCCGTCGACCTAGTCTTGTCTTCCAGGCCTGACACGCATTGGCCTTGTTGGTGTGATCGTGCCGAAGATCGCCCGTTAAACAACATGGTCTTTTGTGTCACTGTCCCGAAATCAAAGCAGACCTTTAAAGGGATCTACATTCTGGGTTAAAGGTTAAACGCAGTAGCCAAAGCCAATTATGTATGCCTCCCTCCAAAATTTGATATAATTCGACAAGCCAAAGTAACTAAAAGACGGCGTTTAGCCTACACTTATATCTGCAACGAAAATATGTAATTTTATAGACTAAACTGTTCAAAATTACAAATACAAATCAGAATACAATATCTATCATTTTTAGTCTCATTTTATAATGGAATGTTTTCTGTATCAATCGCTTGTTCATTGATCGTTGCTTTCAATTCTTGTTGTAAATGACCAAATAGAAAATAATAAAAATAGACATCTTCAAGATAGATGTGCAAAATATGTTCAGGGGTTTTGTACACCATAGTAAATATACGGTAAACACAGTAATTTGTACAATGAAAATAAAATAAAAGCATTTTTAATATACTGAGGTGGGTATTATACACATAATACTTTTGCATTACTTTCGTTACCATTTTCTTCCCAATTGGATAAGTGGGACTTACAGTCCACGCACCAGCCTACTTGCTTGAAAACTTTTAATGAGATTCGAACTTGCAACCTTTTGGTCACAGCTCAGTATACTTAAAATGTATGCGACCTATTATGGATTCCCTTTTATTGATGAATGCATTTAACACCTTTAACGTGTTTATGCGCATTAGCGTATTATATTGATTGGATTTATGTTTTTCAAAATTAAGATATGAGTTTCTGCGGAACGCAAAATGTGCTTTCAGTACGTTGTTAATCTCAAACCATGCAGCTAATTATTGGTAAAACACCTATTCTCACACACCCCGTACAGACGCATGTATTGGAAACTTTTGTGTGGATTTCTAACGATTGATTTGAATCAATATTCACTCATGAATTATTATTATTATTATTATTATTATTATTATTATTATTATTATTAAGCACCAGCACCATTCGTAGTATTAGTAGTGATTAAAATAACAATAGTAATATTTACAAATATATTTTGAAATATTTAATATAAATGGGAAACGTATGACGTAAATATGTGGTTCTATTAAATAAAAAGAAGTAAATGTTAGACGATACAAAACCGATTTTGTATCCAATCCTATAACAGGCGTTCATGGACAAACCGCAAAAGCTACCATAACTATACATACAAATACGACAGTGACAGCAAAATAACATCTTTTTAATTTTTAATACATTATCACTTTATTTTTACATTAAAACTAAAAAAAAAAAAAACAGCAACTGCAATAAATGACTCCAGTGTGACTCCTAACATTGTGGGGTATATGGTCGACATAAGATGTTGTAAATAATATTAAAAACCAGTTTGTATATCAGTTTATATATATAATACAATAAAACCAATAAACACGTTTATTGGTGAACAAGACTGACAAGAATAATAAGAACAAGAAGTTGCCGATAATAGTAAAATCTCTGAGCAAGATCGTCTTCATTTTTAAAACGCGTTGTCAGTAATGCAAAAAATACTGTGTTAAGATGCACCTGTTGCGACTCCATTATAAATCGACATTAAAGTGTTTGCTGTGCTATTTGAAGAGTATTCATCTTAGAGTAATGTGTCTTGTGTACGGAATTATTTTTAGAGATAAAGTCTATACGGTGAATTAACGTACAGTTACACTTACCCTACGTGTTAATGCAATACAGAGAAAACGGCATTCCGTTCTTTTCTATGAAGTTCTAATTAATTGGCTTGTGAAAAGTTTAGTTGATCGATGAATACATTATAGTCCTGCATATTATTGTCTGAATAAGCATTTAACAATTTTACTATTGTTACTGAAGCGTACCATCTAGGCCAATTTCCCTTATTATTTTGATCACGATTCCACGATGGATGGCGTTTGAACTGCATGTTTTCAAAAGCTGAAAACAGAAACACAAATCGTTGCGTCATATTTCACGTCAGACTTTTCAGGTGCTTTTACAGGATCGGTGCAAGCGTATTCAACAAAAAAGTGGTCAAATAATTAAACGTTAAATATTTTGTTTATGCTGTTTATCTCCTATAATTACAGTCGTTATTCTCCTTACCTCTCGTGTTTGGTTGAAATTAATTTACTTAGAAAATCTGACACAACACCTTTTTTCTGTTTCCTATAAGTACGGAGTTTTACGTCCCGGATAAATCTGACGCCGTATTTGAATCTTTAATTGGTACAATTGCCTTTGTTAATCAACTGCATACAAGTGGTCTGTCAGAATTCCGAGTTCAGTGATTAGTTTAATTATCTGTGATGTATATTATTTCTACAAATACTAATGCGTTTTTAAATTAGATTTATTTTAATTAACTCTAACTATTGTTCGCCAAGAGAAGCCACGGGCAACGCGTTTTGCCGCGGGATACTAGTTCTTTCTAATTATTTTGCCATGAGTCATTTTGTCCAATTAAATATATTTATTTAATAAACACCATACGCATGAAATATTAATATACAATGACAAATAAAACGATGCGCAAAGGCCCGAAATGCGTAATTTTAGGGAAGATCAGCTAAACGACGGAATTAAAGGCTTGAGAGGACGCCGAGGGTGACGATATCGTCGGCGTTGCCTCTGAGTAACTGTTACTCTCTTTCTATAACCGGTTATCTTATCATGGCTACTGCCACGCGAGCTCGATTATTCACTAACTTTTTCACAAACTGTCGAATAGACTAGTAAAATGATAGCTGCACCTGCGCAAAGAAAAGCAGCGCCCATGACGGAGATCTTCCTCCAATGCTTCTCTACTGTCTTTACGTTTGGATGTTCAGAATTCATCTGTCCCCATTTTCATTGGTTTCCGGAAAGGTTTTGTTTCTCCATCTGACATTTAGTTTCTTTCACCAGCTGCCAGTAGAATGCAAACACAACAAAGAAACGAGCTCAGACAAAAAGTGGTACAAGATTAGTACAGATAAAATGTTACATACCAGCCTATGGCAAACCGAAAAGCTAATGTGACATGAAATATAAACAGCATTATAGACAGGCGCCGCGCCGCGCACAAACAGAATTCAATTACACTATTAGGATAACATGAAACAATGCTGGAACAAAGTAAAGGTTTCACTTAAGCCATAATTACTCCGTAAATATATACAAAAACTACCTGTATTGACCATTCAGACTGTCGTTTGTTTCTTACGAATTTAAAATATATATTCCACACACACGCTCTCTCTCTCTCTCTATCTATCTATCTATCTATATATCTATCTATTTCGACAATTATTGCTAATACAGGCCAAGGAGAAAGGCGGCCTTGTCTTTTTAAATATTATCCCTTAAGACGTTGCATGTTGTAATTTGTTGTAATTTTTTTTTGAATATTTAAAAATTCTCTCTCTTCTATGGCAGATTTCGATGACATTGGCTTTTATGTGTTTCCTATAGTCGACAAGACCATATTATTATCTGCACAAAGCCAATCAATGTGTACACCAAATGGTACAAATACGCTCTGAGCGAGAACTCGGATATTTCACTTTGTCCATTTAGCTAAACGCAATAACGACCACGTCCACAACAACAATAGCAACAACAACAATAAATAATAATAATAATAATAATAATAACAATAATTTAGTCGCACCCCTTGGTTTTTTTCCTAAAGACCACGAGGCATCCTGTAAACAATGAATGAATTGTTTCATTAACAATTAACATGGAGCGTCAGCGAAGGGAGCGAATTATGCAGCGGCGACGCACGCGGGAAGCTTCACGTGCAGCCTAATATTTTGTCCCAGTGCAGATGTTGAATATTCGCATACTGTACTATTCGTGCACAGCTGCTCCATGCTGTCCAGCCACGCCACGGCCTTCATTTGCATGCAAATGAAAGCAATAATGTCCACTCAGGAAATTACTGCATAATAAAAACGGTGCGTTCAGGTAAATATTGTGAGGCTGGAAAGAAGGTGTGAAGCCATCCGCAGCTTCCTCCAAATGAAGTGCAAGCCCCCCGCCCCCCATATTCATTGTGTTTGAGAAATTTAAATAGGCAGGGGGTCCTGCAGCAGCCTGATGTGGAGGCAGAGAAACGCCTTTTTGCATGTCTTTATGCGGGCTGCTGCACTCATGCTACGCTGATCAAAGGAGAGGAAGCAAAATGACCCAAATGGGGCTGAAGTGTGCTAATCTGGTGGCCACGGGATTCTTAATCTTGATGGGATACAAAATGGGAAATAACCTGCAGATTGAGCATCAAATTAAAATTCCCCACTGGTTTGTTGTTTTAGAAAGTCACTGCAAATTAGCTGCTATGGTTATGCTTGATTTGTTTCTGTGGCGCGAACACAATTATACACACAAACACACTCATACACACATTTGTTATATATCTGCAACTGTGTGCAGGCAGTCATATAAGTACAAGTACATGTGTGTGCACATTGGGTCACGTATGCGCTAACACGTGCTAACACGCATGGTGCACAAACAGCAGGCCTTCACTTCCTGTCCCATGACTGCCCACAGAGCTTTTATCTTTTCATATGCTTCATTGTGTGTGTGTATATATATATATGTGTGTGTGTGTTTTCAAAAAAGACAGGCAGTTAATGGATTACTTACAACTTTTTCTCTGCAATTGAAATTAATGAATGACTTTAATGTTTACGTTAAATGGCAAAACACAACAACACAGATGACAATTGATGGCGGCGATGACTTTTGCAGCCAGTAGCTACGATGGAAAAGCAAGATGTTTCTTGGTCATTTTGAAAATTTGCATGTCATGATTTTTTGGAAATGATGGCATGACATGTACCTGTGGATCAATGCTCTCACTGCCAGTGAAGAGCAACTTAAAATAAGTGCACTGAGACATCTGCACTGACATCATTGTGGGGGATAAGGAAGTCAACTGATGTCACTCTATGGCTAGTAAAATTCCTCACTGTGTCCGTGGGATTTCACTACAAAGGACTCATTGAAGAGGAACATCTTGCAACATAGGAAAGGTTAGGGGAATCCAGAAAACAGTCATAAACAATAAAAATGGTACAAATTACATAGTGGATGTATGCAGAGCCGTCTGATAATTCTTCATCTCATACAAAATTGCCAGAAAAGAGCCTATTAGTTGACCAAGAGGATTGTATGATGGATAGCATCTCTCCCTCTCAAGATGCAGTCACTAATACCGTTATAACGACATAATCCAATAGGATTATTCAGATCATCACTTGGAATGGTGCCAATACTTCTCTGTTCTTAGCAATCCTTCATTGTTATCCCAAACTCAAAATTTCAGCAAAAAATATTTGAAAACATGCATGCTTGTAACTAAAAGGCATTATCATACATAATTGAGTACTTTATTACATGTGTGATTGCCAAAATTATCCAATTTAATTTATTCTAACTATTAAAAATATGCAGCAGTTGGTAACAGAATGCATTAGCACATGTGCATGTCAATACACACTAGGAAAGAGAGGCAATAACTGTTTATATTCATACCCTGCTGTATATTGTTTAAAAACTAGAAGAACATTTTTGCTGCCGGTTTAGGTCGCCACTTTAGCAAACAAAGTGTATTGTTTGCCTAAGGCTGAAGGCACAGTGACTCAGTGTGAAGTAGAGCAA